ATGGAATTATCAAATATTATAAAGGAATTCAAATGTTCTTTAACGACATACCTATGTTTATCGATAGAGATACACAGTATAATAATTAAATTATTAAATTGATATATTGTTTGGGAAATAGCAATTCATCATAATATAAATGGAAATCTAAAGGATCCTGTGACTCAGTGTACTGATGGTAATATGACAATTGAAAATTATTCAGAAACATCGTCGACGTCGAATTCTGTTGCTATACGAGATTTAATGAAGAAAGTTATATTAAATATCGATTAAACTTTTAATCTATAAAGTTCGAAAATTTGCTATCTACTGCTATGAAACTTTAATAAGACAAAAGATTCGAACCAGCAACATTCTACTATACTGTTCGTAAACATTTCCTCTTTAATAATTAACTTTAACAAAGGAAGAGGCGTCCGACGCAAAAATTTACCAACAGATATATGCTACTGAGTCAACCACTCGTGCAAATATAAAACTGAACTACTGAACACTGTCCAAGGGTTAAGAAGCAAACGACCAGGAGGGGAAAATAAAAAAGAAGAAGAAGAAGAAGAAGAAGAAGAAGCGGAACGACAGCAGCACGGATACCCCTGGACATAGGAGGCCAACGGACTGGAGAGTAAGTACAGGCTTGCAGATAGTCCTTTTCCAGCAATTGCAACGAAGAAAGAGGAAACGAGCGTCGCGGAGGAGGGCTGCGTTTCCTTGATTGCCGTCAGAAAAGTGTACAAGCCTGTTGCAAAAGCGTTGCGCAAGCGTAAATTTTAATTGAGCGTACCACTCTGGGCTCTGGCCTCTCTTTCTCGAGGAATCTTCCTGCGGCGTAGCGTAGCGTACCGCGACGTATCAACGAAACGTTCGAGAAACGGCGAAAACAGAAGGGAAGAACAGTAGAAGCAAGACGGGAGGAGAGAAAAAGGAAACCAACTGGCAGTTTTCACTCACCGTGCAGTTGCGCGAGCGATTGCAGCGTGCTGGCATTGCAACTTATGTATCCTGAAACAGAGAGAAAAATGCCGATGGTTTTAGATGATTTTAAAATTGCGTTTTAGCTTATTCGTGGGTATTAACAAGCAGCGAAGCTTCATTTACATATATATAT